CCGGACGCAAAGCTGTTTAGCTTACTGATACTACGTGGGCCCGGCCTGTTGACAAAACAACAAACTATCTGGACATCGTGCGTTGTCTTGATTTCTGTTAAAAAGTACGACGTTTCGGAGTTAAAATCCAGTTTCCGAAACGTCGAATTTTTTTAACAGGAATCAATACGATGGATAGAGGCCATCGTCACAATCCCTCAGATTTAATTTCTAATAACGTTAGCCTACAACAATTTTATGATTATAACAGTTTAAAAAAATGAACAAGTTAGGAGCGTTCGGCAGAATTTGACTTGGACGTTTGTGAAGGATCGAGAGTAACCGAAGCAGTCGCATTCGCGTGGAGCTCGTGATGTGCAGTGCCCGTCGTTGCTGTCAAATTTTGACCAAAACGGGAAATGTATCGACGAGCGTTAGTAAAACTGCTCAGGATCGAAGTTCGTGAAATTCCTTTCAACGGTTCTCGAGGGACCTCAAAATGGGGATGCGCCTTGGCACTCGACGGTTACAAAGCTCGGCGGCGTCGTGACGTCGGAAACCAGACGCGCGGTGGTGACCATCATGGCGGAAGATGTGTTCACCGAAACCTCGTAAGACGAACAGCGCCCCAGGGCCTAAGCCCATCTGGAACTTGCGTTTCGCTTGTTTTGGATTCATTAATTATTTCATCTTTGTTTCAGATAAACGTTACAGGGCTTACGGATGTATAAGCTTACCAATATTACCATTCATCCATTTCTATTGAATTTCGTTGGCCAACCTGTGTCCAACAGGATGCCACTGGAAAAGAACTAGTATTACATTACAAAGGGGTCTGAATTTCCCGAATATTACTAAAGCTAGGCTACTTAAGTGAGACGGGACGAGAGAGAAACTTCGTGCTGTTTCCTTCCTCACCTGATTTCCTGATCGAAGAGCTCGCACGAGAAGGCGCAGGTGCTCCCGTAAATCCGTCTTAAAACTAATAATACTAAGCCGTGCCGCTACGCACCCGCTTACAAATTGGTTACAAGGGAATAACAAATTTAACCGTTTCATCACGTCGAGAGCCCCTCCTCTTCCCCCCCTGCTCTCGCCGCAACAGAACTTTGTCGTACCAAATGAGTCGTTTTCGCCCCTCGTAAAAATAAAAGATATGGGCGCACACTAAAACTAACTCTGCGGGAATTAGTAGCGCCGTCTGCAACACGAGCAGCACTTACGGCGATCTTGCACGCACTCCGCTTTAAAATGCGCAGATTATTCAACGGCGGAACGTGTTCACTGTACTCTTATCCGCAGGGCACGGAGTCGAACCCGGACTTATTCGTGTTTATACCGAGACATGTCTCATTGGCACGTGGGAACCTAACCTCTTGAAACAAACGCACGGAGATCTAGTAAAAGAGTGGGCCTTTCACTCGGTCTGACTAGAGAATTGGTTCTGAAATTCGCGTCTTGTCCGCAGCGTTCCCTGGGCTGTGCTCGTGCTGTCCCATCAAGCCCATGTCCGCCCTGGGCGGGTCGCTGCTGGACCAGTCCACTTCGCAGTCCAGCGCAGTCGCCGCTGACCATCATCGGTCCTCCAGCGTGGCGGAGCTCCGCAGGAAGGCACAGGAACACTCCGCGGCGCTTCTGCAGAGCTTACAGCACGTGGCCAGCTTCCAGCAGTTTCCCATGGGCCTGGGCCTCAACCTGCCGCCGCTCTCCACCCTGCAGGCCCTCGCCAGGAAGTCGGATGCCGCGGCGGCAGCAGCTGT